GGTAAACCACACCGCGAACTTCAAGTCAATGTGAAACTGCACCGATCCGAATGCCTCCTGGACGTCTTTGACCATCTTGGTTGCCGTCTGCCTCTTGATAAACGCGCCGAGGTCAATCGAGGCCATGACGGCCACGATGCAGGATTCGAGCGACTTCAAGACGCCATGTAAAGATCCCCACCTCCACTCCGCAAAATATGGCAAATACGCAGTCTGCACAAAATCGGCCGCGCCGAACGCCTCCACATCCTTGAGCAGCCGTGTCAAATGCAACCGATAGTGCCTCACGAAATTGCTGATGGCTTTGACTCTGCGGAGAAAGAAGGGGAAGAAAGGCAAGCCGCCACGCGTTCGCCTGACGATGCGATCCACCGTGCGCCGCCACCCTGGAGCCAACAAGCAACGCGGCAACAAAAGACTTAATTGTGAAAACCTCGACGGCACCACGCCGCATAAGGACCTGAAGAACCACGGCAGGACGTCCTCGTAATCCGGCAGCAGCCGCTCAGTGCCGAAGTCAATTGTCAGCGAGCGTAGGTGTCAATAGATCGAACGTGGACGCGAACAATTCCACCCCAGCCCATTGTGGTGACCCGTCGCTGCGCAAATGTATATCGAATCCGTCGCCGTCGAGCCTGGCGAACTGCTCCCTCCACAACAACATGGCCATGCAGTCGACCCGTATCCGAGCGCACCGCAACACATTGTAGCCCACCGTCTCCTCAATCGGCGTGTTTTCAACCTCGCGTGCTCTACTGATGATCTTATTCGATTTTTCACAGGCTGCATCCTTCATCCGTATCTGCTTCAAGTCTCGCGTCGCGTCCAACCAATCAAAAATGTTTCGAACAGGCTTGCTCCTGGAGTCGTGGGCTACCGCCCCTGGCAGGTCCAAGAATGCAGACTCGAAACGATCAAAATCGAATGGCCCAAACTCCTGCATGACGTGATTCACTTGCCTGAAGGTGGGCGCGTTGCCGATGACGGGTCGCCGAGAGAAGCCCCGTCCCAACACAGTGGCATGCCAAAAGTACCAGTCTGAACCCACTGCCGACGTAGCAACATGATATCCTAGCCTCGCCACCTCCACTGAGCGTCACACATCAATCGAACCCACTCGCCACACGTAGTCACTCCACCTTCTGGGCACTCTCCCTGCAACGGCAATAGTCTCTGAAGCAGTTCTCCTGGAGATTGATCGCGGAAATCTGCCACATCATGAAATGTAAACCCTCCTGCCCTTTCCACGGCGCACGGCAGCCTGGAGCAACCTCAGCTCATCTAGGAAATACGAATTTTCAGGGATCTCCTGGAAGAATTGCCAATGTCCGACGTTGAGTCCAACGACGTGGTTGTCGCGCAGCGGCCTCCCCAAATGTGCCCTCTCCTCCCACTGGAACAATCTGGCCCAATGGCATCCAGGGCTGGCCACGATCAGGAAACATGTCAGTGGGCCAAGCACGAGTGGCCCCATGCGACGACGCGGAGGGGGGCGCGGGCCGTCAATGTCGGCGGCCCTGGCGTCATCAACTTCATTGACCGGAGAAGCGCCATCGATGTCAGACATGGATTGGATCTGCACGGCGCCAGAAAGCACGAGGCTTAGCTGTACAACCAAAACGGCAGCATACTACATAATGTGGGCTTGGAATCACACCGAATATCTGACACCACGCGTCTTCGAATCCAACTGGTCATGGCTTGCACTTCGTGTCATGCCGCAAGTGTCAGTGTTAATGATGGTGTTTGTGTTTCAAGTATTTGGCCTACCAGAGCATGTTGTTTCTGCGTGTTTGATTCACTGTCTGGGGTCCACGCTCTCCTAGAAACGCCTTCGCCCAAAGTCAAGCTCCCAAAGGCTCCCCAAAGAGACCCCCAAGTAACCAAAGAACCCCCCCAAGACGCAGAGACAAACGTATCCGCCATCCCCGCATGGGCTTCTCAGCGCGTGAGCTGTAGTAAATCCGCCGCGCCCCGCGGGCACCCGAAGCTCGTCGGGGGCTGTGTAGTTGGATGCGCCGACCGCGCGAAACGTAGCGCTCGCTACGCGGTGCAACCGGGCGCGGTTGCCAGCTTCGCTACTTGGGGCGAACGAGCGAGAACGACGCAGCGCCGCGCGGTTCGCAACGGCGCGCGTTGGGCGCATACGTGTTCGACGCGTTCTACCGTTTGGAGCGTCGTCGGGCACCCTTGCTGTTACTGTTGGAACTTCAGCAAGAAATACCCGACGATGACACGCCAAACGAGAAAGCACGTCGAACGCATATGCGCAAGGCGCGGTTTGAAGTCGAACGCGCGCCTCGATGCGTCGCATTCGCGCGCGCGCGACGAAGCGCCGCGAGCATCGGCAGGGCGCGCGGCGACGCGCGCCTGCAATATTTCGCTGAACTTTGGTCGCGCGAACGCGAGAGTACGACGCGCTGAACGCACTGCATGCGCAAGGAACGCGCGCTGCGTAAACGCGTACGACGCGCTTGCCGCAACTTTTTATTTACATCGTCATCATGCTGCGTTTGCTATAGTCATGGATAGTCGTGTCTGTATGCGGGAGGGAGGTGTGTGATTGGGTTTTGTAGGAAGAGGGTACGTGAGACCGTAAGTCCGTGCCTTGCCACCTGCGTCGTCGAGATCGGGCTCGGATCCATCGGCACTGGCGTCTCCTCGGCGGTCGGTGGCATCTCCGACGGGGCCGCCGCCGCTGGCTGCGCGTCCGCTGGGGACGTCGGCGAGCACCCCCCTGGCGTCGGCATGCCCCACACCGGCGTCCGCTGCGCTGGCGGCGGGGTGGAGTCCACCTGGAACGGGCTCGCCTCCTTCGACGGCGCTCCTGGCGTGGACGCCGCCCCCGTTGTCCTCGCGGTCGGTGTCCTCGGCGCTGGGCTCGCCGCGGCTGCTGCCCCTGCCGCTGCCGCCACAGCCTCGCGGCCCTGCTGCTGCTGGAACTGCAAGTTCTTTATCGCCGACTCTTCGGCCAAACGCCACCGCGGGCGGCGCCGCTGCCATCCCAGGCGGCGGCCCTGGCGGCACCATATTGGACTGATGAAACCCCATCGCCTGCATGACGAAGTTCATCTGCCTGTCCTGCTGCTCCATGCGCATCATCATCTGCTGCATCATCACCGTGACTGGATCCGACGGCGCCACGCCGGTCGCCGCGCCATGCTGCGAGCCCGCCGTCGCACCCCCAGGCACTTCCGAGGGCCGCTGCTGCTGCTGCGGCGGCCGCCCACCACCGCCCATGTGCACGTCCCGAACGTGGTCCTCGGCTTCCTCCTCTCGGCGCGCCTCCTCGAGCTCCACTATGTACTCCTGGAGCCGCCCCAGCTCGTCGAGGATCTCCGACTCCTGCTCCTCGAACATCTGCATCCGAGCCCTCGTGTTCCTCAGGCGCTCCAGCGCCTTCTCCCTTTTGGCATTCATTTCCACCAATTGTGTATCCGTCGGCACAGTGCTGCCCATCATGCACTTGTACACACTCAGCTTCGTGTCCAATCTCGCCACATCTTCTGCTTCGCCCGCACGGCGGGCTCCCATCGCCATCTTGGCGACTTCTACGTAACATCTTCATCCGCGTCTCGTCTTGGAACTTCTTCTGCACTATCGCGTCGGGCGATCGTAGTCCACCGCTTCCGCCTTCGTCATGGGCACCACTCGGCTGACGTAGGCATTCACTGCCTTGTCTGCCGCCTGTGCCTCCCTTCTGGCTGAACGGCTCGCACTTCTTTGACGGTCCCTCTGTCGCTGTCTCTCCTCCTGCTGTCTCCGTGACTGATCGATGGCCCTGTCGGCGTTGGGGAAGGAGTTCGGCGCACCGCCACCGCCGCGCGGTCGCGCAGCTGGCTGGTCCTCCTTCACCCTGTTCTCGCAGGCCTGCCCGCAGAGACATAGCTTGTGGCCCTTCACGTACCGCCCGCACGGGCACTTCCACCGACCGGACGACATTGCTCTCGGGGGCCGTTGTGCCGAATGATGGGCCCCTAAGAGCTGCCGTGCTCGCTCGAGAGAGAGAGAGAAGTCATCGTGCCGCGTGCCGCTTGGCACGCTGCCTCCGATGCCACGCGGCTTCGCGATCTGAGCGCGGAATCGCGGCGCCTGAGGTGCGCGCGCCTGAGGTTCGGCCCGCCAAAAAGGGCCCTCTCCACCTGAGGATCGGGGCGCTCGGGCCAAACCTTCTCCTCCTCCTCCTCCTCCTCCTCCTCCTCCTCCTCCTCCTCCTCCTCCTCCTCCTCCTCCTCCTCTTCCTCCTCCTCCTCCTCCTCTCCCTCCTCTCCTCCTCCATCCTCCACCCTCTGTCCTCGATCCCCATCTGATCCTCCTCCAACTCCTCCTCCTCCTCCTCCTCCTCCTCCTCCTCCTTCCTCCTC